GTCATGCAGACTCTAATTGTCTTAGGTTATCATCATCCTGTTTTTAATTAATTAAAAGTAATAATAGCATGTTTAAGTATGGTAAGCAATAACATAATTTTAGTTCTGGAGTTGGGTTAGGTAGAATTTAGCCTACTGGAGACAGCAACTGGGGGAATCATTAGCCTATGGGAGACCACAACTTCACATGTAGGATGTGTGCTGAATTTTTATCCATTTTTCAAATAAAAGTGTATCCTATATGCTGTAAAATGTGGTACCTGATGGCTGCTTTGCCATAAAGCAAGTACTGTACAAGCAAAGTTCTAAAGCTGGATGTCCTTCTTAATGCCAACCCACAGGTGGGACCAGCTGGCAAGGTAAGGTTACAACTCCCTGAGTCAATCAAAGACTATCCGCTTACCAACTGAACAGCTCGTGCAGAACTGTATGTGTTTGTTGTGTGTGACTTGCTTAGTACAATGAAACTTGTTCTCAATACATGTTTAACTGGACTTCCCCTTCCTAAATATATAAATGAATTACTAAAATAATCTTTGCTTTGCTTTGAAAAGGTACTCAGTGTTCAGTGGTGTACGTCATTTGACTTGCATCTAACATGTCAATGAGTTAAAATATCTCTGCCCCAACCATTTCTTCTCCTCCTCACTGACCTCTGCCCATGTAGATCCTAACTGCCTGACCTCTGCTCATGTAGCTCCTCACTGATCTCTGCTCACGTAGATCCTATCTGCCCACCTCACTGACCTATGTTCACATAGCTCCTATCTGCTCAACTCACTGACCTATGTTCCCATAGCTCCTATCTGCTCATCTCACTGACCTCTGCTCACATAGCTCCTACCTGCTCACCTCACTGACCTATGGTCATATAGCTCCTATCTGCCCACCTCACTGACTTATGTTCACATAGCTCCTATCTGCTCATCTCACTGACCTCTACTCACATAGTTCCCATCACAAGGATTGGTGGTTGACCACAGGCTGTCCGCTCACTCCCTCCTCCTCTCACCCTCCCTCTCACCAAAGTCCTTGAATATTGAATTGCTATTTTGACTTGAAAAAATAATAGAAGGAAAGAGCAAAGTAAAAAGAAATATTACTATGTTGTCTATGAAGTGAAAATAGAAGACAAACTAAAAAACAAATGGAAGCACAGTACAGTACAGAGTTATGTAAACATACTTTATATTGTCTGTTAAGAGATAAAGAAGAACCCACATTATATAGATAACAGTAAGGGATGAAGCCTAAGTGCTACAATACCTATACTGTACTCTATTTGTTATTTTTGTTAGATCTCATGTACGTTCTTCTTTGTCAACACATTCTTTGAATTTTGAGATTCATGTGTATAATTTGTAAAACTATATTAAATCAACAAAAATTTAATTACAAAGTAATCATACAGTACCTCGAAGATCTTACTCAAGTCACTGGCCAAGCATGAACAGTTACTAATAAGTATGCCAACTTCTTTAACCTGAAAATTGAAAAGAAAACAATTCCAATATTATCCCATTGCACAATAACATATCCAATCTAAATACAGTACACAATATAAAACATATACATTTATGAACTTGACCTTGGTGAAAGTAAAACTAAGACTACAGTATGTGCAGAGCATAAAGAGTAGAAACTTTATTACAAACGGTAAACTGTTCTTTATATTATTACACTTGGCAGGCAAGATGTACTAACCCCTGAGTTTCTTTGAACAACAGTTTGTTTAGTGTAACCTTGGCAAGAGGTCATTTTCAGTCTGTGATTATGGGTGAAGAGCCACCAGAAGAGTTCAGAGGGTACAGTACTTTGAAAAAAAAAGAGATACAGTGCAGGCATCTCCCCCACTTTACGGAAACCCGGGTTACGGAAATTCGCTCTTAGAAAATTTGAAAATTTTGACCAAAAAATTTGGAATACAGGTAGTTCTGCTATAACGCGATAATTGTGTTCTTGTAAAATATCGTGTTATAGAAAATCGCGTAATAGAAATAACAGGGCTTATGGAGAAAATAGGGTTAAGTGCAGATTACTCGAAATCGAAAAAATTTAGTAGTTAGCCTAACACAAAGGATAGCACAGTCTAAATAAATGTTACATTCATATCTAATAATGAAATCATACAGTAAATGTAACACTTTACCTTGAAAAAATATGAATGTAACTTGATGGGGGAGAAGGGTGATTTTGAGGTTGATAACATCGAGCTTCTTTTCAAGTGTTATATCCTTTCTTTTACGATCATCACCGGGAATTCTATCACCAGAACACTTCTTGGAGATATTCTTCTTTACCATATTCACAATTAATACCACAAAATTGGAGAAATAGTAAGCAAAAATCGCGTTATAGCAAACATGCGTTCGCGTTATAGCAAACAAGCGTTCGCGTTATACAAATATCGTTCCTAATTCATAAATCGCGTTAGAGCAAATTCGCGTTATCAAAACACGCGTTATAGCAGAACTCACTGTATGGCCAAATAATTCGCCCTTGCAGAATTACCGGGTATGGTAAATTTAAAAAAAAAAAAAAAAAATTATTTATAACCAAAATTTTTACCCAAATTGTAAAACTTACTTCATGTGGATTTGAGGTGGTAGCTAAAAGATGCTTGTGGACCCACAACAACAACAACAACAACAACAACAACAACAACAACGGTTTCAGCCAGTCTGAAATCAGTCCCCAGCTTGCGTTCAGTTTTGCCTCTGTGTTCAGGACTGTATTACTGTATACAGTACAGTATTCTTTTTCAAGATGAGAGGAAAGAGGCCATTAAGAGCAATTGCAAGCAGTGATGGTAAAAGATCACATAAAGAAATCACTTTAGACATAAAACTGGATGTGTTATAGAGGTTTGAAGAGGGAGAAAATATCAGCTATAATGACAAAACATTGGGCCTTGTTACCTCAGCAATGGGCACAATCCATGATAATAAGATACAAAATTATGTCTAGTGCAGAAGCTGCTATTCTTTTAACTGCCCATACATTGTATTTCCATCGAAGTGATGTGATGCTTAATATGGAATGCTCCTGAGTGTATGGATTGAAGATCAAACCAAATGAAAAAGCAAAAAGTTTGTATGATGATTTAGTGAAGGAACAAGGTGCAAGTTCTGTTGCAAAACCATTTCATGCCAGTAAATGCTGGTTTGAAAGGTTTAAGAAATGCCTAAACTTACATAATATTAACACAGTCGATGAAGCAGCCAGTGCTGATACTGAGGCTGCACAGAAAGACGCTAGCTCACATCCTCAGAATGCTTTTGGATGCTGGGGAAAGTTTTCTGAGAGTCTAAACTCCATTTCTTTACTAAAATAATCTTGAATAATTTATCTAAAAGTTTGGTCAAATAAATGAATGAAGCTGCACGTTACAGCAAAGACTGGTATTTTCCACTCACACAGAGATGTGGGGGATGAGTGGGTGACATGTAACAGACCTGACCTGATACAATGTCAGGTGGAGGTAGGGTGTGGGATCAGTGGTCTCATATTACTGACCTTCTGATGCAATGGCAGGTCACCCATTGTTGGGTGGGGGATTAGTGGGTCTCATGACTTGAAGATGTCTTGAATAAAGACGAAAGCTAAGGTATTTTTTAGGCGCAAGGTTGTTAACAAAAAAGTGTATAAACTTTTATTCACATCTGCTCTAATTGTGTTAGAGAAAATGAAAATAATTCCCAATGATATTGTTTTTTACCTATGAGATACAGTATATACAGTATTGTGCATGAAATGTACAGGTATTACTAAAACAGATTATTAAAGTACATTAAACCCTTGATAACTCGGCATTTGATAACTCGGAATTTCATATAACTCAGCGTGGATATGGTCTCGGAATGTGTTAATATAACTCGGGAAATGTCGAGATATATAAAATTATCTGGGAAAATCTTGTCATATCTGGCCACCTGCATCACTTACCATGCCTCTGTGTCGCCTACCATGCCTCTGTGTCACCTACCATGCATCTGTGTCACCTACTATGATGCTTCATTCTTCACCTACATTGCTGGTAAGTATTACTTTATGTTCAATCCAGAATGCGACGTCTAGCTTTATACCTAGGTATGTAAATGCCCAGCATTAACTCGCCAGGCCAACATACAGGCAATTAAAACATCTAATAATTACTTAAATACGTAATATTAGGAGGACACGTCGCTACCTGGCATTTAATTGCAATTCTCAAAACCCCCTCCCACACCCTCCATCACACACAATGCTACCATCATCTCTTGCCATAGAGCGAGCAGTAAACAAATGTCAACTCTTGAAGGGTGGAGATGTGTGGGATGTTGACGTCGCATTCTGGACTATATCACAAAAATTTAAAGAATATATATACAGTCGGCCCTTCACATACGCGGGTTTAGCATTCACGGATTCGCAAATACGTGGATTGCCCCGCCGGAGGAATATTCTGTACATTGAAGTAATTGAAGTACATTCAAATCGCGCACCATTCAACTCGCGCGCGGTACCGAACACGGGACACCGCCCGCTCCCGCAACCTCACACACACACACACACGCATAGCTCTCCCTCACTCAGTCAGTCTCGCTGTAACCACGCTTGTGTTGACATCAGCAAAAATATTACATTTCCGTGAATGTATTATATCAAGCACAGTATGAATAGAATATCACTAATATAAGAGTATTTTAACCGAAAACTACTAAAAAAACGAGTAACATATCTTGAACATCGGAAGGTTAAGTAAAGTCTCTTGTTTTCGTCATGTATTTTATCCTATTTTACATTGAAACACATCACGTTTCAGCAAAACTACTATTTATTTCTGAGAATATATTCATTCAGGCACAGTTTAGGTAAAATATACATGTGCTGTAACATTTTTTTAATTGAAAACGATTCGAAAAACACGTACCAAGAAATAACGCTGGAGAAGTTGGGGGAGATGACAAGGATGATTGAGGCACTGAAAAACCTGGCCTATAGTATGGGCCCCTCCATGGTGCGTGCCCTGAAATTCATGCGAGGGATGGATGATGCTTTTGTTCCATACGAAAACATCATGGAAGAAATGAAAAGAAAGAGACGACAACTCCCCATCACCATGTTCTTTGATCACCGAAGGAGAGATTCAACACCATCAATCGCTGGCGGCAGTGAGGAAGCAGCTGAATCCACCGTCGCCCCCACTTCACCACCTGTTATGGAATTGAGTGACGATGAGCCCGATGACCCCCGCCCTGTCGCCGAGGAGAGGTACGGTACAGTAAAGTGAAATTCTTATCTCTTTTTTTTAATAGCTTTTCTTGCCATGTTTATTGTTTGTAAAAATGCACAGCACAGTACAGTTCAGTACAAGTACTGTACATAGGAAGTGGAGGTGCAGTTATTCACAAAACATTTGTGTTTGTTGTCGGCAGTAGTGACGGTGAGGAGGTAGAGGTGGAGGAGGGAGCGGAGGGAGCGAGTTGGGAGGAGTGGTGAGGTGACCTTGGATGCGGGAGCAGGAGCAGGGACGAGTGGAGATGCCAGCCAGTATATTTCGGGTGTTTTAATTGTTTTTATAGCTATTTTTGCCTTTTAATATTAAATACTGTACATTACGTTTCAACAAAACTACCATTTATTTCTGAGAACAAAGAAATGTAATATTTTTGCTGAAATGATGTACGTATTACAGTGGAAAGTGGGATAAAATTGTGACGCTGAGCAATGACTCTCTCTCTTTCTTTCGTTCAAAAGATGTTGCCGTAATCGCTTTTCGAATGGTTTTCAGTTGTGGGATTATAAGGCTAATGATAGGATAGAATATTATTGTAATACAGTACGAGTACAGTACAACAGTTTTTTAACTGAAAACCATTCGAAAAGCGATTACGGTAAAATCTTTTGAACAACGAAAGAAAGCGAAAGTCATTGTTTTCATAATTTTATCCCACTTTCCACTGTACAGTAATATGTACGTCATTTCAGCCAAAATATTACATTTCTATATTTATTTCTGAGAATATATTCATTCAGTCACAGTTAAGGTAAAATATACTTGTGATGTAATATTTTAATGAAAATACGGTATCGTAGTTTTCTTTTGTATCAAATTTAATTAACAAAGATTGATGTTTCAAATGTAATGAACAAAAATTTATGTACAGTATCTATAAATAAATTTTAACAAATGAATACTTTGTTTTACATCGTCCTGTGTATACCATACCATGGATTTGGCTACTTTGGGCTAGCTATGATGACGCAAGAGACTGCCCTGGCGACTGTACCGACACTCACAGCTGGTGGTGCGTTGGTGCGTCGTTTCCATTGTTTACTGGTAGTTACTGGTAAATATTTTTCAACCTAACGAAACTATTACCCTTTTAGAGGTCGACCCCCAATTTTTTGCAAAATAATTTGGTCTTAAAAACTCGAACTACACACAGGTATATACGGTAAATAAGGACATGGGGGGCCAGGGGTTTTTTAGGGGGGCAG